AAATAAATTAGATTCCAATAGAATTGAAATAAATTGGTAAAAGATTAACGTCATTTTTGGCCTTGAATTCAAAAATTCGTTAACGTTACAATTTATTAGGCAATAACAATAATTTGTTACTTATGACATGAACAAACATACGACGCACGCTAATAACTGTAACAATAATAATAATAATTATTATTATTGTTATAACGAATAGGTTATGAGTAATTTAATTGTCGTAAAAATAATTTAGAACCATTAACGTGCAAAAAAATAATAAATAAAATATAAAAATAGGATACGTTTTTTAGCAAGCAAAATTATTTTCTCAATCAATTTTCAATATAATAAAAAAATAAAATTATTAATAAAAATGTTGTAAGCACAATTCAACCACTTACACTTCATTCGATAATACTAACAACAACAATAATAATAATAATGATAAGTATCTTATTAGCTATTTATTTCTTACATGATTAATTTGAAAGTGTTAACTTGCATAAAAAAAAAAAAAGAAATACATAAGAAAAACGAAGTACACAAGAAAAAGTAGGTTCACTTAATAGGCAAGTTCTTTTATCTATGAATTTTCAATGTAATAACAAAAAAGAATTTTTTCCTTTGAAATTTTATCTTTTCAAAAGATAATAAGATCGATTAGAGCGATAATATTTCAATTAACTAATATTAACATACTATAACTCGTTAAGAATACATTTTTTTGTCTTTTTCCAAAGTATATCAAAAGAAGCTATGTTCGAAGGTTGAATATCGATAAGAGAAATAAGTAATTATATATATATATATATAATATTCTACTTGAAAATTAGTTGAGTCAAGTGGCATTATTACTCGACTTTAACTCTTTCGATAATTAATACTCGTTGTGAAAACTCGTTAGTTAACTTTGTTCCTTTTATTTAGTTTATTCGTTTCATTCGTATGTTAGTTCGTTTATAAACGACATTGTCGAGTTACACGTCGTCATCGTTGTCGTCATCGCAACGAGTTGCTTCGTAATTTGTTAATCGACTAGCTATCTTGTTAATTACCCGATAAGACGATGATAACGTAAGCGTCAGCTAGAATGAGATTCGGTTATCGCGGGACCCGTTTTTCGCTTTTATCGCAAAAACAGCAAATGGTAATTTCCTATTTATGTATAATTTTTTTTTCTTCTACCTTTACTTCTTCTTCTATTTCTTTTTCTTCTTCAACTACAACTTTTATCTTTTTATTTTCTTTTCCATTCGACAAACTCAAGTAACACGTTTACTATCACCTCGTCTTTATCTTACTTGTTTAATATAGTACTTAGTTTACTTACTTTTTAATATTTGTCGGTAATTATGACAGTTGAGACTGTCAACATTTTTTTTTTGAAAAAATTATTAATATTTTATCTTACGATTTAGTTTGATATTAGAATTTATTTTGTATCGTTGGGGACAAAAAAAAATCATAAAATTAATTTCTATCGGTACACGATTATTTTCTTCTTGTGGTAACTTATTTCTATAATTCATATTAATAAATATATTACAAAAAATTGATTTTACGATTGAAATTATTTATAATTATAAAATAGTATTATTATACGAGTGTATAACTAACAGTATAATTCTAACGTTACATGATATTTTCTTCTCTCGTAACATTTTTTTTTTTAACTAATTCTTATTTGAATGAATTTTGTTCTTCTCGATAATGATTTTTTTCACAATATCTAACTATCTATTACGATAAATTATATATATTATCTATCTTCCGGGAGGTTATTAAAACGAGATCGTTGAACGAGAGGGGAGATGAGGAAGAGAGGATTCATCTCGCAAATGAAATCGATGATTGGTAAAGAAAAAACTTTAACGTGACGATAAACTGGAACGGATGGAAGCTTATTAAAACTTCCATCGGATAGAAATCCGATATATGTATAGACACATACACACACATATATCTAATTATTATAAGATTTGAGAAAATAAGATTAAATGGATTATCGAATATTTTTTTTTTTTAAATTAACCTTAAGATGAAAATATTGAAATTTAATGTTTTAAGAGACAATTATCTTCCGATCTTATTAACTGATAATAACTTACTGTCGAGGGTTAGTAACATGTTACTTTATTACTTTGATTCGAATGAATATTATAAATATAAAACTATAAATATACTTGTACATAAAATTATATTTATACAATCTTAAGTATATCATCAAAAAAACAAATATCTATCTGTAGAAATATTGAATTTAAACATATGACCGATCCGTTTTTCAAATATTACATTTAAATATCGTAATCTTGTGAATACCGAGTTTTATCGAAATACATTTTCCAAATTTATATCAATATCATTGTTTTTTATTTTTTTTTTTTATTAATTAATGCATACATGCACATTTATATTTGTATGATTCTAAAATAAAAAGTTAAACAATTTAATCGAAAATGAAAGACATATACACCCAAGTGAATATGAAAGAAACATGCACCTAATTTTTGGTTTATATGCTCATGTGTATATGTGTATATGTGTGTGTGTGTGTGTGAGAGAGAGAGAGAGAGAGAGAAAGAGAAAGAGATCAACAAATTAGAGAAAATATAAGATTAATTTCTCGAATGTAAAAAAAAATTTGAACAAACCGTAACGAATTAGGAGTTTTATCGATAACATATTACGATATCGATAACGTTTATTTTTTCGACAATAACCGTTGCACACCTGTAAAGAAAGAAAGAAAGAGAAAGAGAGATAGAAAATTGCAACTAATTCCAATTTAATCGTGGTCTTATCGCGATCAACCAACGACTTTTAAATGTTCCTTAATTGACTACCCATTCTTTATAAGGGTCTCGAACGAGAGCTTCACCGTCACGCGGGTTCTTCTCGAATCTCGCCAAAGGTACTCCAAGTATTGGATAAAAAAAACACCGTTCACGTTTTATAGGTGTGTGCGTATATATAGTTAAGTTGATAGGTTGTTTGGTAAGTTGGTAGATAAGTATGAAACATTCTCGTAACTGATCGCATTCCAAAAATCCGGATCAGCCGTAATCGGTGTTCCTCATCCGTTAATGGTAATTGTTGTCTCTTGTGATAGTTGAACAGTGACTTTAGGTGTCTAGTAATGGAAAACCAATTCCTTATATGTTTTGTTCAGTGAAGAAAAAGAAGGACGGTTATTTATTTACTTATTTTTTTTTTTTTTTTTAGTATTATATACTTACTAATATATAGGCTATCTATGTATACACATACAATTCTTGTTTGTTCTTACGTATGATAAATTATTAATTTAATGTAAATTATATTGAAATGTTTTAATTTATTTTTATATATAATATTATATATATTTTTATTTATATATAACATTATATAATTAAAAATTAATATGTAATATTTTGAAGAATAATGTTTTAACGTATACATAAATGAGTGCATACATAGACTTTATTTGATTATTTTTTTTTTTCTACGTAATAATTATTATCAATTTGATTTATATTCAATTTGATAATTGAATTTAATGTTTGTAAATATTTATATTTTTTCCATTAAAAATTTTGTAATATTTATCTACATGTTTGTGTTTTTTACGATTTCTCAAATTATATTATCAAACGATATTATTATTGCTTTCTTATCAATCTCATTAAAAAGAATACTTAATTTTATGTAAAGGTTAATAAAAAAAATATATTAGAATAAATATGTCTTGTGTAATCAATTTAGATTACAAATATTTATATTTTCATTTGTTAAAGATTGTGAAAAATGACTTCTGTTTAATTTTCTATTTTCCCCAATTAAAATTATCAAATAATATCATTATAGCTTCGTGTAGATAAATTTGAATATAATTTTCCTATATGATAATCAATTTGATTTATTACTAGATTTATGGGCATTGCATGTAAAACTTTTTTTTAATGAAATCCGTTTTTTTGATGGGTATATGAAAATGCAATTTTCTTTGAAATTATTTAGTAAAAAATTATAGATTTTAATTAACTGTTATCTTCAATACATTTTTGACATGTAAACTATTATCTTATAATCTTTCACTTTGATCTACTTTTTTTTATAAAATAATAAGAGATCMATAAATAAATATTCAATATGTAATATTTCAAGAATAATGCTTGCATGTTCAGAATTTGTATTAAATCGAAAACCCGTCATTTTAACGGGTTCCGTAAATCTAATGTCAAAAATACACGTGTAACATATATTATTTACTCAAAAAAAAAGATGACGAAACTATTTTATCATTTTTTGTTCTGAGTCATCTAATTATTAACCTAATTAAATTGTCAAATAACAAACTGTTATTCTTATCAATCTCATTAAATACCATAGTTTAATCTAATGATAATGACGCGCGTAGAATAGAGATGAATCATTATATATATTTTATCAAAAACAATAATCAATTTATTTGAAATTAAAGATTTTTATAATCATTTTCTCTATTTATTAATCAACTTATTTTTTCGAGCTAGTTAAATAATCATTCTCATTGAACAATATATTACAATCTAATAATAATAATAATAATATCATATCACGTCTATAATTGATACGTTTTTATACTCAATTATTAATTTATTTAAAGTCAAAGATAACGAAATTTTTAAATGATCTAATAATTCAAGCTAATTAAATTGTCAAACAACAACATTGCATATCACATCACGAATTATTATTATTATTATTATTATTATTATTATTATTATTATTATTATTATTATTATTATTATTATTATTATTATAGTATATATAGAACTATAAAATCATATTAAAAGAATAAGAAATATAAAAAAAAAAAACGATGGATAAACACGTTCGATATTTACAAGACAAAGTCTACTTAAACGAGGAGATTTAACCAGACAAGATGATCAACGAGTAAACAAATTGATAAGCTAACTCGTGATTATCGATAAATCCAAAAAGAGGAAGGAAAAATAAACAAAACAAAAAAGACAACAACCCGTACTCACCATGTATCCTTTCCTCTTCGTTCACCGGAAGTTCAACTTCTTCGACATCGACGAGACTACGTATACTAAACACACTTTTAGCAACCCTTGTCTTTTGAAGGTCACCAAGTCCGTCGGTTGCCCTACGCGGCGTAGTACTAAGATCCATTTTCGATAAAACGTAGAAAATACTATTCTACGTTCATACATATATATATTGCTCTCAAAACTTCCAATTTAATTTCACTATTAACTTCAACTTCCACATAACGTTAGTGTTTCTCTTCACTTTGACACAAAAATTTCAATATTCGTATTAATAAACTCTTATAAAATACGAATTATTTTCCAATCTTTTTTTTTTTATTATCTTAATAGATTATAAATATATTTATATATATTAATTAATGGATATAAAATTGTATGGAAAATATTTCTAGAAATTTCTTCAATATTCGTTGAAAGTCATTTAAAGTTCCGTGTTATTAAAATCTAAAGAAATATAATAAAAAAGAAAACAATGTTGTCATCAAATTTTAATAAGAAAAACAATTTTTGATAGGCTCTAATCAAACAACGTTCATTCATTCTTTTAACAGACTAGGTATAACTCTCTCTCTCTCTCTCTCTCCCCCTCTCTTTTATTTCTTTATCTTTTTTTTATCCGTAAATGATATGAGAGAGAGAAAAATAAATATATCGTTTTTAAGCAGAAACGTTGAATTCTTATCCGTGAGAACTACAAAGCTGATAAAATACGTGCAAATATATTGGTAGTCGTGGATCGTTCGATTGATTAATCGAACGATCAATCGATCGATCGGTTTTGCAACGATACGATCTTTACGTGCGTCATTCAATTGAAATTTATCCGTACAAATATAAATATTACATATACACGAAGAAAAAAAGAGTAAGAATGAAACGGAAGAAGGGTATGGGGTGAGTGGGGAAGGGGGAAAAGGAAGATAGTAACACCGGTGATGATCATTCGATTATTATCTTCGAGTTCCAAGTAAAAGTATAATTTTATCGAACGGAAAACGAATGGGATTCCTTCTTCAATGATATTTCACACACATTTTATATACGATTTTAGATGTCTATTGCTAAATCCAAAAATAAAATTAAATAAATTAAAAAATCAACAGAGTGAGAGAGAGAGAGAGAGAGAGATTTGTGTTATTCTAATCAATTGAAATATTTCACACTAGGTAAAGTCCGAGGTTTATCTTCTTATTTTTATTATAATTAATTGAAGAAAATTAATTAATTTATATAATTTCAAAATAATTATTATAATTATTACTATTAATTCGAGAATAATTGTAATATTAATTTTTTTATTCTATTACTCGGAATGAAGAATTATTTGAAATTAAATTTTTTGTTTAGAACAAGCAACGATATTGACTTTTCTTTTTCTTTCTAATTTGTATAGATTATTTTCATCGTTTTGAAAATTTACTTTTATTATTATAAAATCGAATGAAAACTATAAAATCAATGTGATTGAAATTTAATGTTTTTTTTTTTTTCTAATAAAAAAATTTCTACTAATTTTACAACTCGTAAAATAATTCAATCACTATTTGAATCCTTAGAAAATTAATTTTTTCTAAATAGAAAAAAATTGATATTCATAAAATCCTACCTAAATTTTACTAACGAAATATAATTCTTTGAAACACAGAAAAAACATTACACTTTTCTTCTTCTCGTTCTAATTGTTTGTCCCATAAACAAATTCATTCGAATAACATTTATATTTCTTCTTTTTTTTCTTCTTCTTCTTCTTCTTCTTCTTCTTCTTCTTCTCGATACTTTGACGTTTAATATAATTTAATTGTAAACACGCGATCTTTATCTAAAAATCAAATACGTGGAAATCCATCGTGTGTACGATAATCGTACCCTACAGGTACACACATATACACATTCGTAAATATAAAAACTAGTCGTTTAATCGTTTGTAAATATCACGTAAATATCACGCAATATTGCTACTACAATACTGTACACAAATACACACATAAGTTTACGAGGTAAAGATCAATGAACTCATTCGAGCGTGACCTCCCAAACGAATCCTCCTCCTCCTCCCCCTCCTCGCCCTCCTTATCCCTTCTTCTTTTTCTTCCTTTTGTTTACGTTGATCTTCACTTTCACGTTTCACATCTATCCTATTATTTCATTTCTTCATATCCTCCTCCTTCATACCATTAATTACAATCAATGTATTCAATAATTTATTTATTATTTTATATAATAATCTATATCGTTATTGTGATTAACAATAAAAAATTATTATATTTCAAAATGTTCACTACTAGTTCTAACACACTTATTGTCAGACCACTATTTTATTCATTTTTAATTAAAACAATTGTTCTACATTTATTATTTATTATCGAAAGATAGTTTTAATTGGATATTTAGAAAAAAAAAAAAATATATATATATATAAAGAAAAAGATTTAATGGGGATTACGTCGATTATGTCAGAAGATCACGTTCACTTCCGCGTAACATCACGCGTGCTTCTTACAGCAACATGTAACTATCTCTCTCTCTTTTTCTCTCTTTCTCTCTTATACTCCAAGAAGAATTCAAACTCCTTTCCCCACTCGTAAAGACAATCCGTGACGATTCACTCTTCCGTTCACCAGCAATAACAACAACAACAACAACAACAACACACGATGATACTCTTTAGAAAACTGTCTTCTTTATTTCTATCTCTTTCTTTCCCAATGAGTCGACGTAAACATAAAAAGAACAAGTAGAGACAAGCACACAGCAACTAAACACACACACGTTGAAAGGTTTTCAAAAACTATGAAAACAATTGTGTCAAAAGCACGTGGTGGTGGTAGCAATGGTGACGGTGGTAGTGGTGGTAGTGGTGGGGGTGAGTTGAAGTTCTTAACAAATAATCCTTTCTTAAAATGTTTACAATTTACAAAAATATATATTTTTCGAACGAATAATATATATTCACTAAAAACTGTTCCGAACACATTTGTGAAATAACATTTCAACGTGACGATGAAAATATTTTTTTTTTAAATAATAAAAAAAAATATAAGGAAGAAAAATTGATTATATATTATAATTAAATAATGGGAATAGGAAAAAAATAATAACGCGATTTGTGATGTTTTTTTTTTTTTTTGATCGAGCGGAGGAGTGTATTTTCTTCGAAACCGTTGCACAAATGAAAATTTATATTATATTATATTTATTTTAAAAATGTATGATAAAAATATGTAACGACGCGTATTGAGATGAAAGAAAAAAAAAAGAAAAAAGTGTTATATACGAAAAAAGAGAGAAAGAAAATATGAGACGGCTTCGTGTTGTAGATCACTGACGATGAAGAAAAGGCAAAGGCACGGGCACACGCGTATCGCGAACTCCTGCTCGACAATGTGCTCCTTCGTGTTCCCACCACCACCATAAGCTTACTCGATCGTGTGGTGGTACTTCAAAAGGAGGAGGAACAGGAGGAGGAAGAATAAGATGAGGAGGAGGAGGAGGAAAAGAAGGAGGTAACTTAGTTAAGATAAAAGAGAGAAAGAGAGAAAGAAAGAAACAACTCTGATTGGTTATCCCCAACTAAAGTTGGCGTGGCTTTGATATGCCGCCAAAGGAAACTCCGCCTACTACAAACAAAATGGAGTCTCACCGATCCATATGCTCCTCCCATTTCAACCAACGATCCCCTATGCCAATCTTTCTTATTTTCATTTTTTTATTCTTCTTGTTTTATTGTTGTTTTTTCTTTTTCGTTTATTTCATTTCTTTATTTCCTTTGGAACGAGTGGACGGTGAAGGTGAATTTCTACGGAGATAATTTTATATCAAAGACACGAACGGGAGAAGAACTTGCTTTTTTTTCTTTCGTTTACAAAATCAGAAGATTTTTTTTTTCATTTGCAAGGTAAGTAATATTGATTTTTCTTTATTATTATTATATATTTGTTTTATATTAGAATTTATTGTTTAATGATATTGTTGTTAATAAATCAATAAAATATTTTTAATTTATTCTTGTTTTTTGTTTTTCTGTTTTTATTCATTGGAATACATTTTTTTTTCATCAATTGATTTGAATACAATCATAACTTATTAGAATTATTTATTTTCTATCCTACGTGCAAGGATTTCTTTTTCTAATTTTATATTTTTTTAAGGGATTAAATTAGTTGGGTATTAAGAAGAAAAAAACGTCGTTAGTATTGCTTAGGCAATATTTTCTCGATCGATTTATTTTATACATGGTATCATTAACTTCCTTTTTTTTTCATATCTATTTTAATATTACGTAGTGCGCGTTATAATCCGTCATATTATAGCGAGCGATTATTCATGACGATCGACTTTATCAATAATAATCGATCGTACGAAATTAGTTTTTTATTTTATTTTATTGTATCAGAAAAACGTACGGAAAGTGTCCGAATTCCATAAAGATCATTTATAATTTTTACTTAATTGGTTCCATTCGTCCCCTTCCTTCAAAAATTGACATATTCCTTTTTATTATTTATTTTAAATAAATAATCGTGTGATTTTTAAAAAATAGCTCGACTAATATCAATAATCAATGTAAATAGTGCTTTGATTGTTTTATTTATTTATTATTTTTTGTTATTTTATTAACGGTGAGAAAAATGTTTCAAAGGCATTCATGAAAGAACGGAGGATTCACTTTCACGTTCGTATTTCTTTAACAGAAAATATAAAAAAAAAATTATAAAGAATAAACGAATGAATGATCGAATGAATAAATGAAAAATAAACTTTCGAAGAAAATAATACTAAATATATACTTTCAAAAAAAAAAAAACAATACTCTTCTCGAACAAATCTTATTAAGATTCGCATAATTTTCTATACTTAACAATATGGTTTCGCATAAATTCGACGGAAACGAATGTGTTAATAAAATCGATCCGATTTTATGTATACATAAAAATAATAATAATAATAATAATAATAATAATAATAATAATAATAATAATAATAATAGTAATACAAATATTCGAGAAAAATAGATACGTGATTTACAAATTACGTGTCCTACTATGTACGTTTGTCTAAACAACAATAAAAAAAAAATATAATAAAAAAAAATGAACCTAAAAGAAGAAAAAAAACAAATAATAATTCATAAGTGAATGAATTATACATTCGATCAACTTTTTCGTAAAGATATTTCATTTAAACAATCGTCAAATGTTAAAAAAATCTCGTATTTCGATATCTTAAATCGACTATTATACACATACTCACATAATAATTATTGCAAAAAGTAAAGTGTAATGAAATTAATCGTAAAAAAATTCAACGATTATTTCATAACATTAATTAAAAAATTGATTTTCATAATTTGTATTTATTGCAAGAGGAATCTCGATTATTATCGAGTTTAATTCCCAAATTAATTTTAATTGCAAAGTCACTAAATTCATTCTTTCTTTACTGAGCATAATAATAAAAAAAAAGTTATAATAATAATAATAATAATAATAGTAATAAGATAAAGATGAAGAAAAGAACAAAGTGAATTAAAATGTAAATTAAACATAGGTACATCTTTGGCACAATAAATATGAATATTATAGTTACATCTTTCTAATATCGATTATTGTTCGATTAATTATTCGAACAATCGATTCAATTCATTTTTCTTCCCATCTGAGAAATTCTTATTGTGATAACACACACACACACACCGTTTGAGATCCTTAGTTATCCTTTTATGATACACACGTAAGGAAATTAGAAGACTGACGTTTAGTGGATACGAGATAATAATTCATAATAATGAAGATAAGAAGAAGAAGAAGAAGAAGAAGAAGAATTAATGATAATAGTAATAATAATTAATAGAGATAATGATACAAGACTTAGCACCTAATCGAGTGTATGGTTTTTTTTTCTTTTCATATAATCAAATTTGACAAATTATTAGCATATTTTTCATTATTATTTTTATCTTATTATTTTTAATTTTTTCGTTTCTTTTTTTTGTCTCTCCTTTTTACCACACATGAAACTAGAAATACGTGCACACATTAATGTTCAATTTTTAATAAGAAAAACGACGAAACATAATTTTAGTTTTAAACAATCTAAGCTTTCAAATTATTTATCGATCATTTAAATTTGAATTTGTCAAACCTAAAATTGTAAAAAAAATTATCACAAGAGAGGTGGTATTAGTATTATTAAAATAAAAAAAATTTTAATTTAAATAGAATTTATATATATATATATATATATATATATATATATAAATTGAATATGAAAGAAATGCCAAAAAAAAATAACGAATAATTTTTTCGTTAAATATTTAAAAAAAAAGGAATAAACGTAATTGTTTATTAATTAAATGTATTTTTTTTTAAATTTTACTGATCTAATAGATCTTATTTGATTGATGTAATGAAACGTAATGTAATGGCACGTTTGCTATTAGGCTCAATTATTGGCAGTAAAATGAATTAAAATGATATAATAATGAAAAATAAAAAAGGAACAAACATATAATACAAAGTCTACGATAATTTGCTTCATTGATCAAAAGGAACAATTTGTTTAAACAATTCCTTTTTTCAATTATATTTATATCTAAACTATCGTCGATTATTTTTGCATTTAAAAAGGCAGTGATAAGATCAATTAAAGAATTCCTAACTAATTGAAAGTATTTTTTTGCACGCAAAGATCTACTCACTTGCTTTTTGTTTATATTTTCTTTTTTTTTTTTGTTTTTGCTTTTCTTTTTTTTATGTTTTATATAATTAAATATCCTACAAATATGAGATAATATTTTTTTGATTTGATATTTGGAACAAGCAAACGCGAAGGAAATAATTGAACGAACCTTCCGTGATGAGAAAGAATAAAAATAATAATTGAAAAGAAAGAGAGAAGTTAAAGAAATCAGAGAGATCTATAATTGCAATTTTTCATGATAAACATTTTTTTTCTTCTTTTTTTTTTTTGGTAAAATATTAATATAAAGAAATTTAAATTATCTTCGAAACTAATGACGAACAAAAAAAGAACAATTTTCAAGGTCGTACATAAATTTGAATTAATTACAATTCCTAATTAGATTTTACACTCACCGAATAATTTTAAGTTGTATGTAGTATTATACATACACGCATAATCTTTTTTTATCTTTTATCTTTTTTTTTAAATAAAATTTCAAAAAAGAAAACCAAGTATATATTAAATATCTTTGAGTATTAAATATTACGCCACATTGGTGTGACGGTAAAAATTAAAAGAAACAAAAAAAGAAGAAACAACCCAAACTAACTAAATAAATTAATTAATTAATTATATTAATTTAAAAAGAAAGAAAAAAGAACAAATATTTCGTATCAACTGTAATCACCATGTAGATACTACTCGAGTACTCACATATACGGTACCCGATTTATTTATTAATATTTATTTTTTTTTTTTTGAAGCATTGCTCGTCGTTTACAAAATCAATTTTTAAAATAACACGAAAGTATCGTCGTCTATTCTTTTTTCTTTTTATTTTTTTTTTTTTTTGTTGATCTTACAAGCTTTTTAATGCTTTCTACTTTTTTATTATCCTTACTTCTTTCTTCTCTTTTTTTTTCAGTTTCGTTATACATAACATATGTATGATGTGTATATAATATATATTGTATACATATTTTTTGTTCGTTTATCGTTTCTTTCACATTCAGCGACACATGTTTGAAGCTTTTTCAATTTTATAATAAATTGGTCCTAATTCTACGGTATTTAAGAAACTTTGCATACTTGTTTCGTGTAAAAACACACTGAACACACATTCTCCCTCTTTGTTTCTCTCTTTCTTTCCCTAATGTTTAATTGCAAATCTTTGAAAAAAGATCTTCGAAGAAATCGTTCGATCTTACAATCTCTGTCATCATTCTCAACTATTGTTCAATTCTCTTAGTTTCTTATATCGTATAAAATTTGTTTATACCTAAGTTTAAGTGTCATGGCTGATTACAGTCTATCGGATTACGATTTACGTCTAATATTTCAGAAAAAATGTTTTTGATTGTTTACAAAAATGTGAACGAGTAATTGCACGATTTAAATCGATGCTTATATATTTACTCGTAATATTAATTTAAATAAAGTATCAAAAAATTCTTATCGTAACTTCTATTTTTACATCTATCGATTAATCGTATAAAGATCACGCTTGAATGAAAATAAAAATTACGATTTTTATCATTGACATTCGTTCGTGAAACAAAAAATCTTGATCCCATTGATAAATGCGAACAAGAATGAACGTGTTTTTTGTATTTTTTTTTTTCATGAAACATACAATTCAATTCCTTGAAGATTTCTATATTATCGACAATCGGTAATTATCGACTGTCGGTAATAACAGAAAAATCTTTTTCTAAATTACTTCTCTTTTAATGATAAATAAAAGCATAATTACCTGTAAACAAAGTTTCTTTTTCAAAAATGACAAATTTCTAACAGCGTGTGATTGATCACAATTAAAATCAAATAAAAAAAATAGAAGAATCGATAAAAATTGTTTATCGATTTACGAAGCGTAGAATATTATTTCAATTATCATCAATATTCAAAAATCGTGCAATTAATACTCGAAATATCTTATTTCTAATTTTCTTTTCCTCTTCCATTTTTGTCTTCGTGTGCATGCAGGAAACGTTGAAACGAATTATTTTGATCGTTTCGATGATCTCTCTCTCTCTTTTCTCTCTCTCTCTTTCTCTCTTTCTCTTTCTGCTGTCTGTCTTTCTGTGATCTAACGAAAAAAGACAATTCGTGAATTAAATCGTCTGGCGCTAAGCCGGCACGTGATTTGAAACGTTAGAGGGTGTCTGCAAGGGTGAACGAGTTTGATGGAACCTCAGAAGCTCCGAAACGGTTATTGCAACACGTACAACGCTACGATTGCCACCCTCCAAAACATCGCTCGCACAACAGACCAAATTCTGAAACACAAAATTCAATAACAATGATCAGTTCTTATTAATTCAGTCTTTTTAACAAATTAAAAAAAAAAATCCAAAAATAAATAGAAAACGAAATATTATATATATATATATATATGTTTATTGTTAGCAGCAATGCTTAGATTGCGTATAAAAAATTTAAAAATTTGTAAACAAAGTAAGAGACTAAGATTCTAAATATACAAAATTAAACGATAGATAAATCTTAGTTTCTAATACTATACTTAAATTCAAAATATTCAACAACAAAAAAAAAAGAAAATATGCTTATTGTTAGCAGCAATGCTTAAATTTTATAGATAAAACAGAAACAAAAACATGATAAAAATTTCTAGCAGAGTTAAAATTAATTTTTTTTTTTTTTTTTTAACAAATATACAAAATAAATCAAAAATTCAATTTACAAAAATGATTAAATATTAAGTAATGTTAATAAAACAAGCAATGTAAATTATTAGGTACCAAAATTGTTTTTATTAATAATAATTCGAGGAATGTGTTTAAAATAGAATTGTTTTTTTTTTTGTTCGTTTTGTGTTTTCATTTTTGTTGTTTAATTTTTCATGTAGAAAAAAACGTATCATATCCATTGCTCCGACGAGCTTATGAAAATGAATAGTTTATTATAAATGACGATATATAAGGTATTACAATTATTACATTACCAATAATACAATCAAAGTTACAATGTGTACACCTGAAATTAGAAAATTCAATAAGCGATGCCGTTGTCTCATTCGTATATAATAATAACGAAATTTGATTTCATTAATTATTCATTTTTTCAATTTAAAATCAAATTATAAAAATCAGTTATATCTTACGAAGTGCATTCATTTCTTTTTTTTTTTTTTTTTTTCTAATCTAATTTCAATGCATCACGGTTCGACGATAAAAAGCAACAAATTTAACGCGTAACGCACGAAATAAATTTGTACGCGTACAAACGAAGAAGCATTTTAGGGATCACAAGCCAACCCCAATTTTTTTTTTT